CAAACGTGCGAGTGGAAGGAGAACCAGGCGACCGGCGTGACTACGACTTGCGACTATCGTTATCCATGTTTCCTTCTACAATGATGCTTTTCTTCATATGAATGCTTTTGCTTTCGACTGAGTCTCCTCTTGCATGTCGCCGCATACTCCAACAAGTCTACTCCAACCCATTCAGCTACAAACCAATCGTCCAAAAGCGCACTCAGGATCACCTCAACTTCTAACGCATTTGCGTACCTGTCTCTCACGCCCACACTCGTGCCCTTGCAAAGTTATTTCCCAATCGAGAGATTCCAGTGAAGTATTACGATGGCTTCAATTTTAAGGTTTCGGGTGTGCGGAGAGGCACCTGAATGACTGATTGTTGGGGAATTCCACCAGAAGGTTGACTGGCCGATTGCCATCAAAATCATCATGGTCATACTGTAGTGTCGACACCGTGATGAGTCCTCATTTCGCTTTCCAATCAAGACGATACGTCCTCATCGTCCAAACAAGAGTGCTCATTCCTGAGACTCATAATGGCGCGCATTCTGGTCGCTTCGACATCACGCACCATATTCCGTTGTCCAAACAGCTATTTCAAGAACGAATCGTTCGAAACAATGTCCACAAAGGGCTCATATTGATACAAGTCTTAACCATTTGGTCAGGAGATGCCTTGCAGACGAAGAGCCACATTTGACGAAAGTCAAGTTTTGAGTATTCGTTTTCGAAGTTCTCCCCTCATAATGCATTCAAACCGCTTCATTGATGGGTTTGGAAATTCACGTTCTTTCGGTGCTCGATCTTGTAAATAAATGTTTATTTAAATAGAAAATGTTTAAAGAGACGTCATATCACTTCCTACATGAAGATCACTAGGTGAATATGCAGTACGTCGTTTAGAGTTTCTATACCGGGTGTCCATAAAAGAATACAACATTTTCATATATTAATACCTGTATATGTAATTAATGGATGATAATCAGTGATCCTTGCATCGAAATGAAGGGGAAGACTGCGAGTTTATTTATATTCTATTATAAATGTCGCTGGCAGTTCGAAATGCGCGTGGAAGGGAATTTCCTACTTGGTGCCTATATTTGGCGCGCGCCACATCCCCATCAGTACAATAGCAACCGTTCCGCATAAGTCTCAATGCGTGCTTTGGCATGCGGAGACCAAGTCATTCAGTACAATTCAGCGCTATTTTCAACGTGTTTATGAAGTAAAAGTCCCTCCTCCAAGGAGTCCATCTAAGCAGTGGGTGCATCAGTTTAATGAAACTGGTAGCGTTGAGAAACAAAAATCAACAAGACCGCGAAAGAGTGATGTGACTGTGCAACTCATCGAAGAGTCGTGTTTGCGGAGTCTAAAGAAATCTGTCGGACGTCGTGGTGGTTAACTTGGTGTACCGCGGTCACAAGGTGCTTCGCAAAAACAAGGTGCTTCACAAGGTGCTTCACAAAGTGCTTCGCAAAAACGTACGACTCCATGGATACAACATCCAGTTGAGACAAGAAATTAAAGACTGTGATCGCTCGAAACGTGCGGATTTGCAGATTTTATGCTCCGTGAAATCGAAAACAGTGAGGGTTACTTGTAGCAAGTTCTGTTTACAGACGATGTTACATTTCACATCAACGGCTGTGCCAATCGCCACAACAGCAGAATTTTGGGTGCAGAACAGCCAAATGAAGTTGTTGAGTGCATGCGTGACTCCAAAGGTGAACGTTAGTGTGGACTGACGCATAATCGCATTCTTGGACCCTTTTTTGCGGAAAATACAATTACCGGTGATAGTTACCTTGGTTTGCTATTCAATGGAACACTTTGTTTTCCTACAAGTCGAAGACATCGAACAAGAAACTCGAAGTGCCATCGTTTTACAACAAGATGGTGCCCGCCCCACTTCTAAGGATCTGTACGGCGCTCCCTGAATAAGAGATTTACATATTGGTGGGTTGGATGAGGTGGACCAATCTCCTGGACTCCGAGAAGTCTAGATTTATCTCCGCAGGATTTTTTCTTGCGAGTATATGTGAAAAACATCGTCTACGCAAAAAAAAAACAAATCCATGACCTGGACCATGTGCGAGAGAGAATCGTCACCATCACTTCAGAAATGCTTGATAGGACATGAGGAGCGGTAGAATGTCGGTATGATGTCTGTCGAGCCGTGTATGGTGCTCACATCGGGACTTATTAAGGTTTGTAAAGAAACTCCCTGTCTTCCCCTTCATTCTGGTGTAAAAATTACGGCATTTCAGACATTATTTACTGAGTTATTACCTTTTGAAACTGTTGCATTATTTTATGGACGCCCTGTATTAAATTTAATTCGTTTCTGGAGGGGCCACACAATTCTTTGCATCTAAAGGCGTTTCGGAAAATCAGGAAACCCAAACATTTATGTGTTTTGTCCATCCTATGCAAGGTGGACTCTTCCTACATGGAACAATTATAGTTCAACATGTCCTGGATGGTTCGCACGTCCACGTCGCGAGGATGGACCCCAATGATGCGGAAGGCCGTAGTATCTCAGGTCCAACCATGTTATAGGGGCTTACGTTGAGGATGACCAAGACGAACCAAATCCAGCATAATGAGTTCGGCTCGGGTATTCCATACTGGCTCAGTCGTCACTCAGGCTAATCAGGACTGCGATTGTCACTTTGCGCCCAGGGTGACTATTGGGTACTATCCTACATTGAGAGACTGGTGGAGAAGGGTGAGGAAATTCAAATTCATTATAGACGTTTTTATCTGATCATCAGCTATCTCATATTCAGGAATCAGACATCCCGTCAGGAATACCCATGGAGTGTATATCGATGCCTCTGGAGAGGCCTTCGCTACCTTGAGAGTTACAAGTGCTTCCATCATCTTGGGACAATCCCGCACGTGGGAATGAATAGCGTGATTAATTGGGTCCGGCGTGGAGATCCCCAGGCATATAGCCCGGGGTAAGTCCCTTCTTCTGCCCTCCCCCCCTCTCTATGTGCCTACTAAAAAAGAAAAACCTCACTCGTGCGACTACAGTAAGATGGCGGCCGCACCTGGAAGGATACAGCGCATCGCACTATAGAGGAATCTCCTCAACTTATATCCTCTCTATGGGGACGCCCTATTATATATGAAAGATGTTGCTGGTTGCAAAAAAATATTTTCCGTGCAGTCACCTTGGAACTTGAACCATCCTCCCTCTTTCGTTTGAGCCAGAGTTCTCTGGGAACTCCTTGGACTGGGTTACCTCTAATGACGGATTAATTCAATAATTCGAGTATCTCCTGCTCTGGTGTATGTGAAGAAAGATCGGCAACATTGTGGAAAGTACTGGCGCCTAATTCCAGCTGTATCAGGAATTGACCCGCTATAGCGGCTACTTTGGCGCCATCAAGCGTCAGTTTAGTGAAACTTTGCTATAAGACAGTGTCAGATGGGTGACATTGATATGCTCCAGGAAAACATCTTGAACGTTCGACGAATGTCCATATGTAGCAAATTTCGAGACCAAGAGACACCTTAATTAAGCGCCAAAAAGGTGCTCATTCTGGTACATTGGATGTCCAAGATGTCCCTTAGAAAATATGTTGCGTGTCCTCGAAAAAGTTGATATGCTACTTGGGTAATGTCATATGCATGAAGCGCGCAGGTCTCATTTGACACGAGATAATCTTCGGCAATCGATCAGTGCATGCAGCGAAGGAGGCGAATGAGAATGGAGGCGAAGAAAAATAAAGTAAGATGCAAAACACAAGACAGCGACGATCCGCAAATCACCGTATTGTTGTTTTTTTTGCAAGATCACAGCTCCTAAACTGTATGCTATCAACAAATGCAACTGCGATACGGGAAAACACTCCAACCCTTTAAAGAACTCCCACTCTCGCCGACCTCTTTTGGTTGTTCGTAAAATGCTGCTAATTGCATGTAGATCCATTGAAACAAACTAGGAAATAAGGGTGATGGGTTTCTTTGCGAGAGTCCGTGTGAACTTATGTGGTGATGAGCTGAGGAATCACCTGGTATTTCATCATGGATCCTTGAAATCCATGAATTCAGGGCAACAGGCGGGAGGCACAACTGTGAGCGAAGCCAGCAAACCCTTTCTAGAACCACGGCAACTCTCGTTTACATGTTCATCCGAAAGATGGCGAGACGAGAGCTAATCTATGATTTGCAATGAAAATTGCCTCCATTACCTTTCTTATAGCCAATTAGTAAATTACGTTACAAAAAGGCACATCCTCGGATGGTAAGGAAGAGTTCCATCGAAGCGTTTGTCTTGTTGAGCTGTCACACTCACACACACACACACACACACACACACAAGCAAAAAAATAATCAATAGTCGCTTCGCCTAGATAGCGGCCAGAATCGCCCATGGTATATGTTTAAGTTCCCGTCCTCCTGTTTAAATAAGTTCCTATTTCAAACTCTTCTTGAGGCTACATACCATGCGAATACACATCCTCCATGCAGACAGTTTATGACAATTTACGTTTCCGTTTCGTTGAAGTGTGAGCATAGAAATGACATTCGTCTGAGTGTCCTGCATTAGACAACCACTCAAAATCGGAAAGTCGACGGAAAATCTTCCTTCCCGTTTCCCTGCTACACAAATATATTAAACAAATTCGCATCCACAAGCATACCGGTGCGCATCAACCCAAGTCCTTCTGACTAGCCTACGACCTAGAAAGGGATAGGGCAAGGACCTCACGCCGCATGGTTAGGCAACAATTTTGCCTTTTAGATAGGCCGAAACGGTCCTCTAAACCAATATGTCGAGATCGATGTAGGCCTGAGCGTCTGTGCAAGGGTTAGATATGGGCCTGCTGAATCAGTCCCTTCAGGGCACGTATCTCCTATGTGGAACTGTAATATGTAGTATGCGAGCCAACGGCTCTTTTGTATTCTATCCTGTTTCCTTTGAAGGAAAGAGTCTATGATTATGGTATTGGCCTAGGGAGAAGCACCAGTTCGCGAACAGGGAGTCAGTTAGCGAACGAGGGTCATGAATTGCGATTTGGCCTCTTGTTTCTCGAGTTACACGCTCCAGCTCTCGGTATCTGCAGAAAAGTGGATTGATTGATTAATTAATGCTTGGGATGGAGTGTGAAATTTGAGTAACAAAAGGCCAAATCGCATTTCATGACCCTCGTTCGCTAACTGGCTCCCTGATCGCGAACCGCTCCCCTAAGCGTCCATCTATGGGTCCTGCCTATGCCTGCTAAATCAGCTCCCCCCCCCTCCCGAAGTCGGAATTCTTCCTGAGTGAACAATCTTGCAGTAACAATTTCCTTCAATGACAGAGGAAAGAATATGTGTATGAGAATGACGTAAACCTTAACCTCCCCCTGGGGGGGGCTGTGCCTAAGCTTGCAAAATCAGTCCCCCCCCCTGAAATGTCCCTAAAGACATGCTCATCCAAATATTGCTTTTTTGTACTTTGTATCCCGATAACTTTTAGTGTACCAAGTTTCAGATTTCTAACTTCTCTAGAACATGGTTAGAATTAGCGACAGTCAATCACTCGGTCATGATCGTCTATATGCATTTTTTACATCAGATTCCAATGGAACATCATTTGGTAATAGTCTCAATTGATTAATAGTTGGAATTAAGTTTGTACTCAACCGAGAAGCTAATGTGCTTTCCAGTTCCATTAAATTACTCTCTATTTACATTTTGAAACTGGAATTTCTGGCAAGATTTCAGTTGTGCCACTATATTCGTACCCCGGAAAAAGGAGCAAACTTTCTCGTCCTCCACCCCATCTAATACCTGGGACTAAATGGCTATCGGTGAAGCAGAAATTCCCCATGTTTCACGCAGCACCATTCCAGTCTCAATTTTTTTTCCTCGTACGGAACGTGCATGTGAAGCATACAATATAAAATGGAGCAACTAGATTGACAAGAAGCATCGGAGTTCGAGATGTATTTGGGAAAGTAGAGAGTGAAAATGCCCCATGAAGTAAATTCAGAATAAACTCACTGATTCTGGCGGATTCGCTCAAGAGATCATTGCAGAAGGGAATATCGCAGGTATTGCGAGTTACACTTCCGTCTGATTTGACAATCCAGCACCATGGTGAATACATTGGCCCTTCGAATAGCTCTTTAGATACCTTTCCTACATCAGGCGGCCCTCCATCCGGACTGCTATCTGGATTTCGACAGAAGTTGTGCCTGCTGTCCAGAGAGTCGGAGAATGAAGGCAGATGGGTATCATATTCCCTTTCTGAGGACACTCGGCTCAGCCACGGCAGACAGGGTTCCCCACTCCCGGTCACATTCTTGTTCCCCAAGTATTCCCCACCCCATTTTGTCAGCTTGCATTCCATGGGAACTGATGGAATTAGAATAGGGAAGTCAATAACAAGTACTGCAAAACTCTATTCTAAGCTGGCATGTTTCAGAATGAGTTTGTCTTTGCAGAATGGTGTTTTGTTATTATTATGCGTCCAGATTTGGCTTTCCTTCATGTGAATCAAGCTTTTTTAAGGAAGAGGAGCGGCTCCGAAATAGGCGATAGATTTAATGACATGGTCAAGGGCACAAGGTCCACCGACTCAACCAATTTGGCCGATCTGATCGATATATACAAAATTACAAAAAACAGGCATTTTGTACCAGTTGAAAATAATAAAAACTCTGGTGTCAGATATGTTATGCTATGAGAACGATTCTTCTGATGATGTATGCGGCTCAGTCTGTAACGTGTTCCTTCTTGACATGAGTAAAGGACCAATATCCACTATTGTCCTTATTGACCTGCATCATTGCCGGACTGATGACACTCCCGGCATACTTATCGACTTCAAAGCAAATCATACAAAGCTGCTGATTTTTCCAATTCCTCCCTGCAAATCTTCGCAAATCCTCCTCAAGTTATGAACGTTCCTTATCAAAAAATGAACTTGTTAATAAATGTCATTACTTCTTTGGAAATGACACACTACGAAAATGGGAGTAAGGAATTTTTACCGGGGGTCTGGATTTCCAAGCCGAGAAACTTACCCAGTTCATTGCATAATGGTATGTCGCAATATTCCCATTCGGTTGAAGGAAAGTCAGAGACGAAACACCATGGCCTCTCTCCCGATCCTGGATTCCTGCAGTAATTCAGTGCGTCTTTGGGTCTGTAATTCATGAAGAGCTTTTTGAAAAACACATTTTGAGTGGGATTGATTGTCCTTGGTAGGTGCTTTCTCATGACGTCTGGAAGCCATTGAAGGTCCGAAAATGTAGACCAGGATCTGCACGTCTTCCCTGTTTCGCTGGTCTTGACCGTGCCCATATACTCCTTGCCCATTTTCGTCATCAAGCAATTCGGGTAAATTGCTTCTTCATTGAGGTTCGGACCTACGCAACAGCAATCATGTTCTTGGCAGTCACATTCAAGGATCTCTATTGGTGCAGGGATGGTTAAGTGATTTGGAGTTTCCCATGCTTCTAATTTCTGATTGTGTCCCCATCAGTTTGTAAATAATTGTTATTTTTCCAGAGTCAAATAAAGAAGCATGTTATGTGAATAAATCTCATTTCACGTTAAACTTCTACCACATGTCGCGTTTTATGATCCCACTACATGAACTCTGGGCCAACCCCCTTACAGAGTATTTCCGGGCGTCCTAGATGCTCGCTACATTACGACATGGTTAAGCCAAGGAACTAAAACAAAGTAGGACATGCACGAGAAGAGAAAATGGGGGATAGGAACGATGTGTGCAAATTATGGACACTGACTTAAAATACTACATACATTTATTGCTGATATTTCCTCGAGAGTACGGGGTTTATATCGGCACAATTGCACAAAATGGCAATTTTTGCCATCATGTTATGAAGGCAAAAGTCTACTTGGACGTTTATAGACGTTCCTAATGCTCATGAAATGCATTTCTACCAAAAGCAATGCATGGATTTTCTTTAAGCGTATCGAATATATATTCACTTAATGCCACCTAGCAATCAACTGTAATATGAACCATTGCAGAAAATATTATCTTTGGAGCTAATGCTTCTTTGAGGAAGAAATTAATTCACGTTTCGCGAATTCATTACCTCCTTAAAGAGTTAGCGCTGATGTTTAGAGGGGGGGGGGGGGTCGTGGTATGGTTGATATATACAGATTTTCACAGTCGTACCCGACTGAGTAAAATGATGAGATGAACGAGATTGAGGAGTTCTGTTTGAAGCGAACAAGAGTTAAACTTATCCTAAGGGTATCGGCTTACAAGTCTTTTCTTTCTCACACACTACAATTAACATCTTAAAGCGCCTTCATCTTGCTATATTTGCTGCATTCCATCCAAGGAAAGAAAACGTATCCACATATTCAAAGAATCTCCTGAACCAATGGAGAATATGACATAATATCATTCATAATTAATTTCCAGGCATTCACGCCACCATTAAATACTTATTTAGACCATATTTTATCTTCACTTACCAGTCCTGGTTTTTCTGTTCCACACATGGACTATCAACCAGAAACGCCGCAGTTGCCACACATACGCCGACCTATGGTCACACATGCACTGCTAATTGGGCATTAAATACATACTTAGACCTTATTCTTTCTCGACTTACGTTCCATAGAAGGACAAAAGGGGACATCACAGTATTCCCAATCTTTAGCAGGTGTGTCTCCATCGTAGCACCAGGGCCCTCCAGGACGACCTCCTGGGTTTCTGCAAAAATTGTGATTTTCGTCCACTTCGTCCGAGAAAGCAGGGAGTCTTATTCTCCAACGTCGATATTGGCTACTCCATCGCACTATCAGCCATGGTATGCACGCGCGTCCCGACAAGGTTCTGTTTTTCTGCCCCAAATACTCTGCTCCCTTTTGAGTGAGTTTGCATTCCAGTGGAACTAGAAATACAACCGCCATATTACAGTGCAATTCTCAGTTTTATCCATGAATTCACGCTTTATTGTAATTCAATTTGGACGAGTTAAGGATTGGTTTGGCAAATGCTTAGACGTTATTTATTTATCACAGAGTTTTATGAAATGGAAGTTACATTGAGTGAATCTGTGGTAAGCTTAGCTGAAATATGATTTTCCGTCTGTGAAACCTCTTATCACTTTCATGAAGGGATTATAAAAAATGCAAGGAACAGTTAATCTCCATTTCTAGCTCATATAAAATGATATAACGAATATATGATAAACATTATCGCTATGAAGTGCAAACTTGGAAGGGAGAGAACATAATAGACCTTCCAGAAATGTAATGCAACGCTTGGTTATTCATCCAATAGGTTATTTACGCGACAGGTGATAATAGTGACACATGATTCTCAAGGTCGAATTTGGACAGTTAGCTACTGCCAGCTTCATGTGTAAATTTTTACTTTTCATGGGTGACAATCTTTCTTGTTCTCGATTTCACAGGTCCAGGACGGTGAAGATCTCGTGTGGGGCAAATCCAACGTATGACGAATGTACTGTCGCTATTTCTGAAGACAATTATCTTCGGATAAATATCTGAATATTCCATGTAATTATCTGAAGATTAGTCCCCTTTTCCTTACTCTATGTTTCCTACTGCACCACTCCCAAATTGAAATAGGAGCAAAGATGATGGTAACAGTCAAGCAAGATACCTCTAGCATGGGCGTGTCTTTTTCTCCAGTCGCTAGCAGCTGCTAGCGACTGGAGACGAAAAAGACGCGCTGGCTAGGCACGACCATGTCACAAATAATAATACACTGAATAATCTTACATTATTACATCGCATTCCCGCATGACCACTCGCGACGTGGCGGCCGTTCTCGAGTGCTCCCCCTCCGCCAACTTAACATCGCCTGTCCATGATCGGAAGGTCTGGAAGCTCGGGAGTTGATACCCGAATGCTTTGACACAGAAGGACCTCGACCAAAGTTCCGACACCTGTGCACTTCTCCTCTCCCGCTGACGGCGCTTCGACTGGCTCGACGACGTTGTCACGGGGGATGGAAAGTGCGTGATGTACGCGAACCATACCCGCAAGCGTCAGTGGGTAGACGCCGATGAAAAGCCGCAGCCGGAACCGAAAGGTGGACTGCACACATATCTTTTTTAAGAACGCGAAACGAATGATGGAGAGTACTTTTCAAACTAGTATACAAATTTTGTTGTTTTCAGGAAAGAGAGAGATGAGCGACTGCACTTTCTTGTTTTTAGGGAGTAAAACCGCTAACTCAGGTTTCTCTACCTTTCTCGGAAATCCCCCACTCTTTTCTAAGAGTGTACTGCAGCGACCAACTGGAGAGATAGAGCCAGAAACTCTCAATGGCTTGGGTGTGACGTGACAGAAAGCTGTTCCTCCACTGCAATGCCAGTCCGCAAACCGCAAAAGATGACCCGGTTGCAACTCCTCACCCTCGGATGGGAGATTCTGCCGCATCCATAGTACTCCCGGACCTTGCTCCGTCGGACTACAACAGTTTCCGCGCCCTGCAGTACCGCCTCAAAGAGAAAAAGTTCGACGACCAGAAAGACCTCGAATGCTACTTGCTACAGTTCTTTGAGTCGCAGTTCCCATCGTTCTACCATGGCGGAATCCATTCCCTGGCTCGAAGGTGGAGACATGTAATGGGACACAATGGTGCTTACATTGTTGACTGCTATTATATAGTTGCTGAATGAAATTGTATTCTCTAATATTGCCTGAAACTGGAAGAACTTTCCGACCAACCCGATAGTTATGTTGTATGCTATGCGGCGCTACTGTGGAACAGAAGCAGCGAGGTAATTGAGATTTGCACTGTCCAGTGAGCTACAGGAGAATGTCAATCCCGAGAGGAGAGGTGAATAAATGCAGCGTAGGGCTGCGTTAACTGCAGAGCAGCATATGGCCGTTAAAGCTGTGCAGAGAGCATCCCATGTACGCGTCGAACCACCAACTCATACTAGTTGGCAGGGGCGGCAAACGTTATTCAAGCCGATCGACACGATATTGACCCTGTGAATGTAAATGCTCTGTTAAGTACTGCCAGGCTGTTCATTTCGAAGCGGAGAAGGGCAAATTTCGGCATGGTTGTTTTAATGATCGTGGGAAGGTGTTCCACTCGATCCCGTTGGAGTATTCACCTGAATTTAAAACCGTTGTCGATGGAGGAAGATGAAAAAGCTCGCAATTTTCGCGATTTTTTCGGGCAGTATAACAACGCAAACGCACTTGCTTCCTTTCGCTGTAATGATTTTTCACATTCCCGGAAACGATCCCTACTGCCTCAAAACACCCGGTAAGGTCTATTATTTGGTTATGACCAGTCTGTAACCTTCTGATAATGTCATTCCTCCTCCGCCGAATTAAAATCAGCAAGTAGCATATTCTTAACTAAACGTTACCGATTGGGATGAAGCGGTTAAAATGCAGCGGCGCATGAAAATTCGGAATGGGAAGTGCATCGCTATTTCTTCATAGATAGAGCGGAGGCACTGGCAAAGGAATCCTGTACACCATGCACATCCATATATTAAGCGGCAGAGGACTGAATGTTTATGAGCATTGCGTGGACTGGTATTGCTGCAATTCTGCGGCCTGGTGGTGTACGTTACAGGGCCATTAACTTGCCATTGGATCAGCTCAAGCTTAAAACGTGTCCTTTATTGCGCAATACTCAGACGGTCATTCGAACTACGTACGTTATCGTTTGGGAGGAAGTGCGATGACGCCTACAGAAGCGCTGGCAAAGATGGAACGGGCTTTGCGAAACTCGATTGACAATGATTGTCCGTTCGGTGGCAAACCGGCTGTGCTTAGTGACGTTCGCCAAGTGTTGCCATTTGTCTTCAAAGGTCCTCGCGGTCAGATCGTGAGACTTGCATTATAATGAACCGTTGTGGCCATTCTTCCGTATGATTCATTCAAGTGACAACGTGTGCTGCTAATTAACAAAGCTAATTCGTTTTGATCTAAGATTATTCGATGTGCGAAACGGAACACTTATGCGAGTACAGGGCGGTCGATCTGTGCTTTGCATGTGTTTATCATACGATTGTATCTCGGATATGGTGAATCAGCTATTTTGACAGTGGCATTGGACCAGTGATGCCGAAGGGTACAACAGGCAAATTGAGTTCCAAGTATGAGCACTCCGCTTTGATTGGCGTGTTGTCTCGATTAGAAGACGAAACGAGGACCCATCACACTATCGCCACTGAAGAACGATCATGGTGATCCTTTCGGGTGAATTCCTGAGCACTTGCAATCCTCTGGGCCACCCTCCGCACGCCCTAAACCTTAAAATTGAAGCTATCGTAATGCTTCTGCGGAGTCTCTCGATTCAGAACAGCTTTGGCAATGTCACGCGTAGAATCGTGAGAGACATGAATGCACATGGCTTACAAGTTGAGATGATCACGGGTGGGCTTTCTGGCAGAGTTAATTTGCTGCAAAGAGTTTAACTGGACGCGTCATTTGACGTCATATGCGGTTCAACCTTTGTCAATTTCCTATCGGGCTTGCCTTTGGCATGATTACAGATTAGTCTCTGGGAGAAATATTCGATCAAATCGGACTACTACCTCTGGAGCTTGGATTGAGGCATGGGGAATTGTGCATTGCCTTTTGGCGAGTTTGCTCTGAGACTTCACTGATGATTCCGGTTATCTGCTGCTCATTGCTGCTCATTTGCTACTAAAAAATATTTGAACTGTCTAACCCATGCTGGATGGATGCTAGAGAGCTCAGTCGGTCCGTCAGCATTCATACATTCCTCGAAGCAAAAAAAAGTAAAAATCCGGACGAGCCTGGACCCTGGATTAAAAAGAAAATTAGGCAAAAGAAGTCAAAAACGGCAATCTGCCCTACGACGAAGCCAGATTGGTCTTAATTTGATTGTCACCAGGAGTATATGACTCCTAGCGACCGCAAAGTTGCTAGGTATAAGGACCAGATTGTTGCACATCTGCTATGAACAGATTCACCTCAGGATCTCGCTGCCTGCGCATCCTAAAAATGTGTATTTAGTATGTAGCATATCTGCTGGCACAGATAGCACGCAGTGCCTCAGCACCTCTTTAGTGTATATGTGTTCCATCGTCAACTGTATATCACATTTTGGCCAGAGAATCTGGCTAAGAATATTCCTAGTTGATGAGCCGTGCCAAAGTAAGTATAGGTATTTGAACGGAGGGTCGCAGTAGCGGGCATGGGCCGTTAGTATAATGGAATATATTGTCTATTGTACTTTTGTATTGTATTGTACTATCCAATAGTTTATAGTTGCCTCAATTGACTGATGAATATTGACTTTTAACAAATCTCTTTGAATTCAATACTTCACTAACCGGATTTGGCAACAATCCTCTTCACTTGTCCTTGTGAAATCGTATTCATTACATATCAATATTGTCTGGAGATTCAGTGCCTACGAAACAATCCAATGAGAATCATGATTGGTTCTCCAAAGATAAACGTTCATTCCTATTTTAAAAAATTGTTCCACATTTTTCTTCTAACTTTCTCAGGATTTTGAAGACATTTTCGTAAGGGGATGCAATGTCAAAAGATGCGAAGTCGTAAATTTGGTGCAGTTTCATCAATATCTATTGTATTGAATGATTAATCCTGAAAATATGTCAGGAGTTCTAGTTTCTCAATCATACATGTCATAGCCCCGAATTTACTAAAAACAAGAGACATTAAAATATTTGCGGTGTCATTATGCCATGGAATGACTCAATTACTCTTATTCAATGGCATTAGCATTCTCACCTGTGATTTTAGGGTACCCAGATGATTCCCACAGTATCGTAAAATGAATTCGGTAGGGTAAACTAACAGGACCTAAACTAAACTCACCCGGGTCCTCGCATATGGGAATGTCGCAGAATTCCCATATTATATCCGGGTTCGAGATGAAACACCACGGCCTCTCTCTCAAAGCCGGATTCTTGCAGTAGTTTTCGTGAGATCCGGGATCCTCATTGAGGAAATGTTCCTCAAAGGACAATAATGACTGGAAATCTTTGGGTGTCGGATATGGCCTGGAATCCCATCGGAGGCAGTCGTTTCCATTCTCCGTCTTATTCATTTTCCCAATGTATTCCTTTCCCTTCGCAGTCTTCCGGCATTCCGGATACACTAAGGATGGAGTTGGTTAGTTTCACACATTGGACCATAAGCTGGCTTTGCATTTTCTTTTTCCTATCCTCATCAAGAGATTGAGAGAGATCATGCCGTTGCGGTCAGAGTGGCCGTGCGAATTTTATATTTAAGCTTTTCGTCACGGTTTCATACATAAAAATACCTCTATCAATGCATCACTCCCCACTATATGTACTAACATAGTTTACTTTTTTTCCACAGCCGAAGGAGAGCCTTCTGAACAAATGCTTGCCTGAATGAGAAGTTGATGGTTTTCAGCATATAGTCTTTTCATGCGCATCAGAGTTCAAATAATACCTTCTCTTCCAGAGGAGTTATAATGAGGAGCTATTGCCAAAAAGTCAAAATGTGAATAGTTTCAGTTGCTGTTTAGGAAGAGGTATTCACCGAAAACATTCACTACATTTGAGTTTTCAAACTTCAAAATCGCATCAATATAATAAAATATACTGCGGTCTTGGTGGTGGTTCTGGTGCTGGTGGTGGTGGTCGGTGGCATGCGCGTGTACACATGGCATGAGTGCGCTTCGCGCGATCTTTTCCTCAAGGATATGTAAAGCGTCCCCGTGTTCCATGTATTACGCTAGGAATCCCCTATCATTACTGGAGGAAGGATGACTTCCTCGCCAGGATGACATCTCCGCCCATATATTTATTGGAATTCCGACCCCTTCATCAATCGGAGCCCCGACCTCTTATTGATCGGCACTCTCCACTCAATGGCTCTCCCCATTCAGCTAAGAAAAAGAACTAGAGGTGGCGCACAATGGTATCGATTTCCTGCAATTAGAAGCCATATTAGAATCATAGCGGCTCTTCTCCATTCTCTACAATGGGATTTTCATAATTTCCCTTCCCAGTCTTCTTGCTGTCGTGAACATAATGGAAGGCAGTTTAAGTCACTGTCGTTGCGTCTTGGGTGCTAACTATCGTTACAAGGAGTGGTACAGAATTTTATAGATTCCATAAATATGGCTTTCAAATACTTAATCCCAATGTTAACCTGTAGCTAAATGAGGAAGTAATATGTTTTCTCTCTGCGTCAGCAACGCATCACGAGTCTTTGAAATTTACAGGCACCAAGTGAGCTCAGACCAGCTAAAGTCCATTAATACATCATTGACAAGCTCCAAAGGACAGGAAGAATTCCATTAATGTAATTGCAACCTCTTCAGCATCAATCACATCAGTTCAGCTTTTAAGACCCTGAATGCATAATCATTCCGTCCTGTCTCTATGATGCGTCACGATTACCAATTCCATGAGCATCTGGGGTACCAGCAAATGTATGTATACAGAAGTTCCTTTCTTCCCGACTTTCCAAACTTCTCGGCTTCGTTTCTTTGGCAGGTATCGATTAGATAAGGACTAGAAAAATCAATGCATGTTAGACCGAAATATTGTGGCCATCGACCACGGGAACCTTCGCACCTGCATACATAACTAAAATATGTAGGAGCGCCTTCTTCATTACAGAAATTGGTGCACGCTTCCGTGATATTCAGTTCTAGGCCTTGTTACTCATATTTCCGGCAAATTTAGTCCAATAGTCATGCTTTAAAAAAGGGCCTCATTGAGAGTGTCTAGAGAAAATTTGAACTGCGTTCAAACGTACATTCTACATGAAATCCGTTTCATATTGTTATATTTATTAGTTTATTATAATATTTCTTGATATCATGAACTAATGTCCAACCTTGAAGTGACATGCAACACATTGACCCTTTGGAAGAAATACGCTTGACTGAACTAACTTGTGTGAACGATTATAAGGGTCCAATGGACTCTACCACAAAATATAATTAATTGTTTACGCTAGGCCGCGATTTTTCAGAGTCCGATACTCGAATCCGCGAATTTTCTTGAGGACATCCCATCAATTATGAGCTAAAATATTTTGAAGCGATTTTTTGTGAATGAAAAATCATACAAAGATGCAAAGCTAATGGAATCCATTGGAATAAAGAATAGGTACAACACCAGAAAAAGGTAGATGAGAAGGAGATTTCTAACCAAACTTTGGACATCGAGCGCCAGAGGCGAGGAAAGAAGTGCACCACGTGTCAGGGGTTTCAGAGCATGTGGCATGGTGCTCTGTCGCCCCATCGGTGAATCCTGCGGGACAGGTGAAGATCACTTGGGAGCCACTGAGGGCGGGATATTCGCCGTTCCATCCCTCAAGGGACACAAGAGCGTTCTTTATGGTCGGATACTCCATCAGGCATAATTCTGCGGAAGAGAGTATTATTTTAAAATGCATTAAGTAAAGAAGTATATAGTTGATATTCTGACAAGTGACACGCCTCTTCTCATGCCTCCATCACAAGTTAGCATGCCATGGTCAGAGAACGTACATATAGTGCTTCATGATTAGGTGGGAGATAGGTGTATTTCTTAAGAATGAAAAGGGAATTTCTGAAATAATTGATTTTAAACTAATTAGACGACAGTTAGCTTCTGAGACTTACAAACAACGTGTCATGTTTGCGAAATATAATGATTATTAAATACCATATGCAATTTTAAGCAATAAGCATTTCCGAAGGTGTATGTATTAAATGTAGATATTATATTTCTCTTTTATAAGCAGGCATAATTCATTCATAGAACAATTCGCTATGAGAAATAATGATACATTCGGAGACTTACTCTGCACGTAAGTCTGGTATCCCTCGGATGGTATGAGAGCGTTTTTGCCATTTAGAATCAGCTGACAGGATCCATCCGAATCACGATAGTTGTAGGCGTTGCAAGGATACGGCCGTTGGCTCATGCAGAGTATATTGCAAGCCCCATTACTCCGAACCTGGATTTCCCGATACGTATTCGAGTACCTTTGACCATGGTGAACGGAGTAATATGTGCGAAAGGACGATGCAGTTCTCAGAGGCAGAAGTGAGAAGAGGATCATGTAGATCCTCCCAAAAGGGACCATGTCGAGCGACTGAAGGCTTCTCTCTTCCAGAATTTCCTTTTTTTACCATTATAAGCGTAGTATCACGTGACCGCGTGGAACGAATCGGGAAGCGATTCGTGGAGAGTTGGAATTGCTGTGGATTTTTTTCTGAAGGGAAACCTTGAAGAAATGCTTCTACCTACGTCTCGGACCAAGTTGAAACGCAGAAAGCATTTCGTTCTAATTGTCCTGCAAGGACAAACAAAGAAAGTCAACAGTAGGGTAGGCTTCCTGTGGCGTTTGATGAATGGTGTTGCCCTCCATCACAATCCACCATCATGTCCAACAGTACTGCGAAAGTGTATTGCGTAAGAATTATTAATGCATTCATTATTTTTCTTTAGTTTCAGAGGAATTGAAACTCAGAAATTTTTTGCATATTCACTACAATCAGGGAACGGGAAACTCGCCTTTAGGTCAAAGCGAGTTTTCATCTCGGGGCGGCAAACTTTATTGCTCGCAAAGATCCTATTTCCTTATTCTAACCGTCCTTATAGTCCTGTAGCTGGCTCTGGGAAGTCGCAACCAGTTTTGACTTGGCATATCGATGGCGAGTCATGGACGCATTCATGACGCTGTCTCGGAAAAAATACATTTGAATTCGGAAACGGGAGAATCTAAAACCTCTCACTTCGGAAGTACAGTAGAAGGAACGTTTTCAGGAAATTTAAAACCCAACAACTGTTGAGACTGACCTACCCAACCTGTAGCCTCTCGGCGAGTAGAGTAATCTCACCATGGAGGAAGTTCTGCAGGCTATCCTTTACCTTACTAATGGGAAGTTTCCAGGTGTTGATGAAATCCCGGCAGTGGCTCTGAAAGCAAAGGGCACGGGTGGGTGCTGATGGTTGTGTAGGGTATGTCAGACCGCTTAGGAATTGGGACAGAACCTAGGGACTAGCAAACGAGTGTGATGGTTCTCATTTTCAAGAAGGGAGATTCGAGGGAGCGCACACACTACCATGGGATCATTCTCCTCAGCATACCTAGTAAAGTCTGCTCAAATGTCCTGGAAAGGAAAGCACGAGCAATTGTGGATGGAGCCATCCAAGCGGAGCAGTTGAACTTTCGGGAAGTGGGCAGCACCACGGAAAAGCTTTTCACTTTCCACTAGATTCTCGAGAAGCATTTGGAGTACGTCAAATATATATGCCTGTCCTTTGCATACCTTGAAAAGGCGGACGACCGTGTGCCCCGAGGGAAGCGATGGGGAGTACTGCAGGAGCATGTGATCATTGGACAGGTACTGCAGGCCTATACAGTGATAGCAGGAGCTTCGGTCGAGTGAGCGGGAGAAGTTCGGATTGTTTTCTGGTACGTGGGTGACACCGCTAGGGTTGTGTCCTCTCTCCTTTCCTGTTCCTCGTGTACATGTACATGATTTGAAGGCGCAGCCTCAGCGAGGAGGGGGTCAACATTGGCGGCGTCACGGTAAGTACACTTCTTTTTCATAAACTGTGCTGTCCTATTGACCCGATCTCGAAAGGGGTTCCAGTGCGTGCTCGATCGGATCGACTTCGAACGCACCGCGGCCCTAATAAAAACGAACGTCTCCAAGACATAGGTCATGATCCTCTGCAGAAATCCTGTACAGTGGACCCTGCATGTCAATGAGGTCCCACTGGAACATTTGGAGAAGTTCATGTTTCTTAGGGTATGGTTATCGAGTGACGGACGACATGGAAACGAGATCGACAGCCGCATCTCCAATACTTCTTCAATTTTGCGGGAACGTTGGCGAGTCGTGGTTGCTAGATGGAAAGATTCTAGGCAAGCGAAATTCTCTGATGGGGCCAATAAGGCGGGAGAGCACTGCCAATCGTGGTAAAAAAATGAGTTGAAAGAATGTGCGCTCCGACCTTGACGGAGAGTTCCGGGAAAACCCATTTTTAACTTGAAGTAATGGGTTTTTAAAGACTTTCAATGGGACCATTCCATATGTTCTTATCTGTCACTGTCATATTCCTCCACATGCGAGAAGGGAGTTGTGATCAATATCATCTCTTCTAAGTTTATTAGACCGATGTCTCAGCCAAATGAGAGTGACAGTCCCAGGGGTCTATAGAAAAACAAAGGATTAAATGAAGATAACTCCTTGTTGCATATTGTCCTCTTATTGGTTCTCTCTCACAACATCCGCAGTTTAACATTGGGTTGCGATTCATTGTGTGTGACGAAGTGCTTTATAAAATGTAAAACAGTGGCAACACATGCATTCAAAAAAACTTTATTCATCCCATTTTGTTGCTCGTCCCGTTTTGTTACTTGCCCGTATCTTGCTGTTCATGGCTATGCTTCAATCGAATTCCGAGGGCTCAAATATGGCTCCCCAGCGGCCCAGTGCTTGTGCAGTTTATTTTGAGGCGCGGCTTTTACTTTCTGTCTCAAAGACGGTTGGCTAGCAGGTCAATAGCTTAGGCTGTGGCACCAACTGCACTCCGTAGGTTGTCATTCTCCGACAATGTTGAAACTAATATTTAAAAAGGCTGAAATTGTAAGGGCTTTTCTGCCATTAGTCCTTGCTCAATTTATGACCATACACATAAAAAATGTTGCATTCCGACACACCTAACGTTTTAATGGATTGAAAAGAGCTATGAAAAGAGTCCATTTTACTTTTGAACACGATTCAAAATGTTTCATATCATTAGGGTATGGAAACATAAAAAGAAAATTCCACAAGCAAGCGAAGTGCCACCTTTCCTATCTATGATATGGCTAGTGCACTTGTACCTCTTATGTCCCCAAATTTACAGATTTTCTCAAACCTCGCTTCTTTGATCTGGAGTATGGGAGACTCACAGCTGAAAATGCACTTGTCAGTACTTGACAGTAGTAACTCAAGATCATCCAACCCAGGTTCCCAAACAATTGCCACTTAATATATATATTAAGCCAAAGAAAAAGATTGCGAGAGGATGGTGGGGTTTTCATGGCGGGGGGGGGGGGGACGGAGATAGGAAGGGAACATCATTAAACGTTAATCCGGCATGTGGAATGACTTGAATTTGCCCAAGTAGTTTTTTGTTCGCATCTTTAGGCTCCTTCTTGGAAGTCTAGCAGTTCATTAGTATATAAGCAATACTGAAATTGTTTCTGGGATCTTACGAATTTGAATAATCATATTGAGGCATGAAAAGAAGACGACGCCTATTTTGAATTCCTATATAGGCTTTCCAAGTTTCACAGACCTAACGCAAGGAGAGTTTCATAGCTGCCTGCACGGCTCTCTTCCATCCAGAATGTGTCACAAGTGGGTATTTATTCATGCAGTTATTAATAGAGCTTCGGAGCGTCCATTACTTTTCCTCCACCCCTTCAGGCGACAGGAGGAGGAGGAGGATAAATGTGACTTTATTCCAACCAATGTATCATAAGGGGCAGCGGTAGCAGAAACACAGAGTCACAACGTGATGGGCAAGTCTCTGAGCCATTGCAAGGCTTCTGGGGAGGCTTGGTGGATCTCTGAAAGTCCTCCTGGGAAGGCGAGGTCTGGGCACTCTTCTGCGCCGGGAGACGTAACGTCAATGCACGATCCTATCTGGGAACGCATTTCGCTTCGAAAATGAACTCGCCCGTTTCACGAAATTGCCCATTGCCCATTGCCCAATTGCCCATTGACCTGAACGAAGAAATCCGAGTTGAACTCCTTCGAACATCTACCATATCCGAATGAAGTCATGTGAAAATCTTATCAATAAGGCTTTCGCTTTCAACTCCAACCCCTACCTTCTCTCTAAGAAACTGAAAAACTTTGGACCTTGGCCTAACCGACAGACAGCCTCCAGGGCACGAAAAGGCCTACCTTGTTTTCTTTCAATAAAAACTAAATTCTCGACTTACTGGGACAATTAGCCCTAAGAGGGTGAATCTTTGGTCTTCGAAACATCTCGTTGAGAAGATGTAACGTTAGGCCAATCGCAGGCCTTTTCATACGTTCACGAACCATTTCTGAGAGGATATGTAACATTAGACCGATGTGAGGCCTGTTTCGCATTTCATGAACCATTTCATTTGGACGTGGAACGTCCAAATGGAGTTCCTCGAATTATCTCGAATAGGTCCGAGGAGGGCGTGCCTTCGTCCTCTCGTAAAGCCCCAGCAGCTAATAATTATTGAATTGGGCATTGGCAATGGGCAATTTCGTGAAACGGGCGAGTTCATTTTCGAAGCGAAATGCGTTCCCAGATAGGATCGTGCATTGACGTTACGTCTCCCGGCGCAGAAGAGTGCCCAGACCTCGCCTTCCC